TGGATTGTCAATGAAGCAAACGTATTTTTGATGTAACAATCGACTGCATTACTTATTTTTCGTATATAAGTCGTTTCGAGACTACCAATTAATCAGTTATATGAGATGTATTCACCCTCTTTGGTTTAAAGCAATGAAGGACTGGTAGTAGAATTTTCCCACAGTGATAAGAGTAGAGCTGACTCTACTTATATACTCAAATTAAGTAATGTAGTCTATTTTCATAGCGAAAATACGTTTGCTTTATCGACAATCCTACCAAAGAAGGGGATATGGGAAACGTTCTAGCCTTCCTAGAAATTCACATCTGCCCTGTGACCTAAGGACACTCGTAGCAATTTAGTCGAGTGGCTAACGTGTCAATCTCCCATTCTGCACTGTCACGGTTCGACTCCGGCTGGAAGTGTTGATAATACCGATGCGAGGTCGAAACTGCAGTACACCCTGTGACATTCAATGGAAACTTCAGCTCTACTCATACTATTGTGGGAAAATTCTACTACCAGTCCTTCATCATCTTAAACGAAATAGGATAAATACATTTCATATAACTGGGAGTCTCGGAACTCTAATTATATACGAAAATTTATTAAAGAATATTTGATCCTCTCTATTCTTTGACTAAGAAATTGTTTATTTCTTCACTAGTTTAATAAGCAATTTACTGTCTATATCGGAATCTTATAAAAAATTAAAATTTCATCACCATAAATCCCAAAAAAAATTCGCGCTTGCACTGCTTAATACTTTAGAATAATGAACCCTTGAAAATAAATAGAAAATATGTTCGAAAAGCAATCATAAGGCTTGATATAGTGAAGCCTTGAGATTCTAGCGATTAGAAGAGAATATACTTGAAAATTAAAATAATATGTATCTATAGTAGATATAATATAAAGTATATAAAAATATAAAATAAACATAAAAAGAAAAACAACCATAGAAACTACTCCTAATGATAATTACCGTCATCGAGAGCAACCAGATCAGTGTGTGCTTTTTGATTGGGAAATAAACACTGAATTATCTCGAGATTTTATCAGTGCCACCAAAATACATTATACTTTAAACTAAACATAAAATAGCCGATCATCTCAAAATCAAGTCTGGTTTCTGAAAGCTCGACAAATATAGGCGCTAAAGCGTCATTATGTAGCAATGCGCAGAAAATCTGTTATTCGTTTGCTTCCAGTATTGCATCGGAATCAATCTGCATTAAACAATTAGGCAATCCTATAACCCAGTGAAATTAAAGCCTACAATTGCTAAACAACGAAAACATCAGATAAAATAATTCACCATGTATTCTGATGTAAATTGAAGAGGCTCATGAATACTTTGCCGAACTCAACACAAATAAGACATTCATCAACTTTTTATCCCTAGGATGGATCAAAGCATAAACTTAAAATTTACATATATTAATCAATTAAGAACAAACATTTTTATCAGTAAAATATGAACAATTCTAAAGCGTGGAGCCTCTAGTTTGGACCCAACTTATCAAAACAACTCGATTAGAGATGTGCAAGGATTCTCAACGTTAAACAAGTAATAGGCTGGAGGAAGTGTCCGAAATTACAATTACAACATATAAACCACAGAACACGGTTTACATGGCACACAAGAATATTGCGAGGAGGCTATGATAATTCATAAAATTTTTCCCGACCTACAGAGAAAATTGCTCTAAATGCACTTCGACAAGCTATTGTGAGATGAACGTTCGGAGGGATAAGATAAAGGGTTCAGGAAGAAAATCTAGCGAACTATTTTAAAAGTTTAATCGTCAAAAATTAAAAAAATCACAAATAATGCCCTTATATGAGCTGAACCCCTTTAGACGAATAGACTTATCCGGAGACTGAAATCAAGGATAGAAAGCGAAACAATTGGCTGTGAAGTTTGTATAGGAAAAGGAATACATGTGTAGTCGGTTGTAATACAACTGAGGTTATTATGTACATCAGTGAACAAGTGATGATCAGGAGGATATCAGAAAAGGGGCAAATTAAACGAGATGCTAAAGTTGCGTAGCCACATGAACGAGAAGCAATGATGGAAGGCTATAGAGACACAAATGAGTAAGTATAAGTGGCCCACTTTGGTGGCGCGATGAAAGTTAGCTCCTTTCAGGAAATGAAACTTTTAAAATAGCCGTCAGTGTCGGAACCCTCCGAATGCGATGCTATGAGGCAAGCAGCTGATTAGCA